GCGGTGCGTGGGGATGGGGGGCACCGGGGGGGTCATTGGGGGGGTCCCTGTCACCTACACCTGTGACAGTCACCTGCAGGAGAGGGAGATCCGAGCGGTGCGTGGGGATGGGGGGCACAGGGGGTCACTGGAGGGTCACTGGGGGGTCACTGGGGTGTTCCCACCCACTGGGGTGTTCCCACCTCCCGGTGGTGGGTGGGTGGTCCTGGGGGGTGTCCCCGTGGGTGGGTGTCAGTGAGAGGGGGGGTCCCGGCAGCCCCACCCACCCACCCCGATGTCCCCGTGTCACAGCCGGTGTCCCCCCGGGCACGGGCGGTTCCTGGAGCGGGGTTTGGTGGCCCGGGGGTGGGTGTCGGTGGCCCGGTGGTCCCGGCAGCCCCACACCAACGTCCCCAGTCCGCAGCTGGTGTCCCCAGACGGGGTTTGGTGGCCCGGGGGTGGGTGTTGGTGGCCCGGGGGTGGGTGTGGGTGGCCCGGGGGTGGGTGTGGGTGGCCCGGGGGTGGGTGTTGGTGGCCCGGTGGTCCCGGCAGCCCCACGCCAACGTCCCCGATCCGCAGCTAGTGTCCCCCGAGGAGCACCGGCGGTTCCTGGAGCGGGGTTTGGTGGCCCGGGGGTGGGTGTTGGTGGCCCGAGGATGGGTGTGGGCGGCCCGGGGGTCCCGGCAGCCCCACACCAACGCCCCCGATCCGCAGCTGGTGTCCCCAGACGGGGTTTGGTGGTCCGGGGGTGGGTGTGGGTGGCCCGGGGATGGGTGTGGGTGGCCCGGGGGTCCCGGCAGCCCCACGCCAACGTCCCCGATCCGCAGCTGGTGTCCCCCGAGGAGCACCGGCGGTTCCTGGAGCGGGGTTTGGTGGCCTGGGGGTGGGTGTTGGTGGCCCGGGGGTGGGTGTGGGCGGCCCGGTGGTCCCGGCAGCCCCACGCCAACGTCCCCGATCCGCAGCTGGTGTCCCCCGAGGAGCACCGGCGGTTCCTGGAGCGGGGTTTGGTGGCCCGGGGATGGGTGTGGGTGGCCCGGGATGGGTGTTGGTGGCCCGGGGGTGGGTGTTGGTGGCCCGGGGGTGGGTGTGGGCAGCCCGGGGGTCCCGGCAGCCCCACGCCAACGTCCCCGATCCGCAGCTGGTGTCCCCCGAGGAGCACCGGCGGTTCCTGGAGCGGGGCCTGGCTCTGGCCGAGCGGCGCAGCCAGAACAGCTTCCACTGCCGGGGCCGGGACTGCCCGGGCTGGTGCTTCTACGAGGACGCCGTGAACGAGTTCCCGTGTCCCGTGTGCGGGGCCCTCAACTGCCTCCTGTGCAAGGTGAGCCCGGGGGGGCCCGG